CAAAATCTTACATAGTGTTTCTTTACGGGATTCCAACCTGCAGCCCTTTGCTGCATGTCGCCCCCTCCCCGCCCCCCTCTTTCACCTGTCCTACCAAAATAAAGGCATAAAAAGTCTAAAAGAAATCTTTAAAAAAAGTTACAGTTTATAAATTGTGGAGGTTTTGACCGCTATTTATATGTTGTTCATGAGGACGCGAGTGACACAATACGCATTCATGCTGATGGTTTGGCACTATTTAATTGTTCAACCGGTTGTGGTAATGTACAAGCACAGTGTTGATATGCCAGCTAAAAGCAGGGAATAAGAAGCCACACTAAATATAGATTTAAACAGCGTAGCGTTTAATTTATTTTTTAAAGTCAGCTTTGCAGATATTTTATGAGGAAGGAAATACATTCAACATGTTTGTTATGCCTCAAGGATACACACAGTGTGTTTTCTGTGAGGAACAGTTAATGTAAACACAACTTTTTTAAACCCCACAGCAACGAAGTAAGTAAGTAGTTCAAGTGACACATTTTCACTATTTAAGTGTCTGTACCTGTTTAAGCAGTGAGCCAATTGTCATGTTAAAAAATGATCACTGATTTTTGATGCAGCTCTCAGTGTAAGTATCCGTATTTATGTGCACTGCCTACAGCTCTACCAGAGACTATTTTCATATTCATAATCTTTGACTGTGTCTTAAATATTTTACAAGTTTCCTGTAGAAAAAGGCCAGACACATGAATCATTACCTACACTTACATACCAGGTACAAGGTAATTACAGCCATGAGTAACACGCTAACCCTTCAACCCGAAAATCTGCTGATGCAGTGAAATGATTCAGCCACTGGGACTGCACTTGCAGAATCTGATCTCTCAAACTTAATGTGTTCCAATGGGACACAAGCACACACACACACAAATGCGTGCAAACAAACACACACATGCACACACATATTTTAAGAGATGAACAACATAGAAAAATAGACAGAGGCGTACTGACAGTGACAGAGTGACAGAGCAAGAGGAAACTGATTACAGTAAGTACCAACCCCCACCATTACAGAGGATACTTGAAGATAATAATGTGGCCATGAGCCAAAGACTACACACACACACAGTTCAACAAAAGGGAGGCACCCGTCCACCTCCTGCCTCCCCTCCTAGCCCCGCCCTTATGTCAAATCCATACAAGGCCTGTCCCCCAGACGCCCACGATCCCTGGCTCCTTCATCCATCCAGTCTAGTCAGCCTGACAAACTAATGGAGACTAATCAACTGTCAGGACAAACACGCCGCACACTACATCTCCCGGCTTCCCGTACCATACCCCCTCCTCCACTCCAGCACCCTCCCACACACTCCCCCACCAAACTCCCCTCCCACCATCATTTCAGCTATAACTGTCATGTGCAGAAATAACAGAGCGATGGCTATATATAGCAGTCTGACTCCTCCCTGGCCTATAGTGCACACAGATACACACGAAGAATCTCCCCAGAGCACATTCATTTCCCATTTTGCTCACCTTAACCTTTAATGACCTCCATTACACATTTAACCCTAATCTTATCCTAATTCTACACCTAATCTTAAATTTACAATAACCTTAACCTCCAGTGCTGAACCCCAGCAGCTATCGGCTACTCAAAAAGTCTGTAGAAGTTGGCAGATGACATTACACGCTACTTTGTAAATCAATATATTCGACAGCTTTCTCCTACTGGCAGAAGGACAGAACTCAGCGTTTACAAGAAGTGTAATAATGTAATTCTAATCAGTGTAACCACAATACTTTTGATTACTGAAACTGTCATTTAAACACATTAACCAAGCTATCTTACTAATAGTCTAATAATGGAGCTGGATTACTCTTTCAAATGACTCTGGATATCGATTTGCCTTGCCTTTGTCTGGTCTCTCTTCCTTTGTTTTAGTGCTGTGTGCAAACTACAAAATGTCATGGGAAGGAAGTGGAAGCAAACGTGTGTCTGAAAAATGAGTGGTATGCTTAACAGTGAGAGAAGAGGAAGGGGGTCTACTTTTTTGTGTGTGGGGGGAGGGAATTGGCAAAATTGTTTTCCTGTTGCAACAAACAGCCTCAGGAATATTGGTTGCGTTAAGGTGCTTTGTGAATTCATAAGTATGTCATAACTAATCTGGATATCCAAATAAACAACCTATTTGTACTGTATGCATCTACCATAAACCTTTTAATAATAGCCCGGGCGTTTATTTGCTTAAATCACCCTGCCGTTATTGGGGAAAGGCGTCTATTTGGGACAGCCGTGTCCTTTAGCACAACACTCTTGCTCAGCAAAGATGGGAAATAATATCTAACCATTGCTGAGTTTTGTTCAGCAAAAATTTGACAACTAAATTCAGGTCATACTTTTTTCTCTGTGCCGCCGCCAATACACTTGAATGTGAATGCTGTTTTACAGCAGTTGAAGATTTACAGCATCTAGCATACAGACAGTGAGCAATGGACTTCACATGATAATATTCACAACTCAGATTAATTTAATTAACGAGACCCTCTGATTCTTTTGACCATATGGTACGGACTTTATGACCACTTCAAAGGTTGGGAGTCAGCACTTTTTTCTGTCTCTCTTGTTTACCATGCCGGTAAATCTGAATGAATTACACTTTGGTGCTCATAGTTTCCGTAAAATGAGCCACACCAAGCTATTAAAGGAGAATGGTAAATGGACCTGTACTTGTATAGCAGCTTTCTAGTCTTCCAACCACTCAAAGTGCTTTTACACTACGTGCCACATTCACCCTTTCACACACATTCACTCAGTGATGGCAAAGTCCATCGAACAGAAACTAACATTCATACACAGTACACAGGGTTCAGTATCTTGCTCAAGGATACTTCGACGTGGCACCAGGAGCCGGGGATCGAACCCACAAGCTTCCAATTAAGGAACGACCCGCTCAGCCTCTGAGCCACAGCCACCCGAACTGCCTTTATTTCTGACGCTGCTTTTATTAGGAGTTTTACAGTAAACAAACTGACAGTGTCTCATCAGGTAACATGTCATATATGTGTACGGCATGCAGCCATGTCAGTTTGCACCAAGAGGTCCCAAAAAAAAACATTTCTGACATTTTTTAACCTACAATAACTGATTTTTTGGGGACTTTGGGGCAGCAGAAACAAGTTGTCAACACAACACTGACACCATTTCAGTTGTTATCCAGTAGTATTATTATTCATTTGGAGTAGTCATGTTTCTGGCCACCTGGTGAATGTAAGTCCAATATTCACCTTCTTTCAGCTCTGTTTTTGTTCTCTACCAACTCCTGAGGGAAATATCTCTTTAGATGCTGAACTGTGTTTGTCAGACGTTCAGTGCTGGGCAGGTGTACAGTGGGTTTTTAGAGCTTTATGATGCTATGAAAGGAGTAACACTGAACCCAATGGTAAATTTGTGGACTGGACATCAAAAAAATGAGCTAAACTCCCTATGAAGCTCTGTAATACAGATTTGGGTAAAAAATATCTGTAGGTTCATTACTACGAGTGACCCCTTTCACATTGTCACATAGTTTTTACATTGTCATTGAATATGTATACAGTAAATAGTTTATAAAAGTTTGTAAATAGTTTAACTCTACCCTTAACTTGTCCTAACCTCATATAACTTGACTTAACCTAATCTAATATCTAAATCTAATCTAATCCAAACAAACCCTACACAACTGATCTAAATGTAAAAGTTTACCTTAAACCTAGCCTGCTTTGGGCAAATAATCTGCTTTTATTGGAAAATTGGGTACTTTTAAGTTAAGAACACAACAACACAAACACACATTAAGACTCGGCCATACACATGAACATACACAAAGAATCCCCCGCACAGTTCTTTCTTGTCTTGGCATCTCAGGAAGCAACACCCACCTCCCATCTCATAAACACCTCAGATTGAGGAGAGGAAGGAGAGGAGGGGGATCTACCGGCCTTTTCTGTTTGTGTGTATGTGCTTGTGTGTTTGAAACGGAAACTGATTCATTTCCATATTTTCATCAATAGCACAGGGAGCCTCAGATTCTGTCTGACTGTTAGATCTACATAGTTAACTTGTTTACATGTTTACAGCTCACCAGACAGGTCAGAATGCACTAACTCATCAACTGAAATATACTGAAACTAGCAGAAACATAGTTTTGTGAGGTTCAAACCTGTGACCTTGAACAAAACAGTCCCTCTACCCAGCAGGCCACCCTTTACTTTGTTTGTATCCCCTGCTAGCGAGTTGGACTCGCTGCTGTACATAATTGATGGCCACCAGCAGGATGTTTGGCGTAGATTGGGCTGGAAAATTCTATATCATTAGCACAACGTGAAAGCATGACTGACTAATTGTCAGAAAAGAAATTACAACAGAGGCTGCTATACAGGGAGCAGGCACTAATTAACACTCCATCATTACAAGACAATCCTGATGAAAATTACAGCCAGTGTGCTGTTATTCCATATACATGAGTGATAGATTTCTTCTGCATCGGGATCTTCAATGTTTTCCTACTGGGGATATACAGGTATAATCACATTTTCTGGGGGGGCCGAGTAGACAGATTAATCACACTGGGGGTGGCATTATTCAGGAAAATACTGCGCACAGCACAGAGTTGTAGATTGCAGCGCAGATCAGCCACTTGCAAAACTTCCGTCTTATCATGCAGAGGTGTGATGCAGTAAAATGCCAAAGGCCTTGAGCAATTCATATAATTTCAACTGTGCATGTGGAATGGGCAATCATTTAGGTTTTTACGACCGTGCAGCATAAAATGACTATAACATATCCACAGAAAGGCGGCTGTGGGCATTGCTGATCAATAACAACTATTGCTGTGCCAAGATTTCTGGCAAACATAGCTCAACTTAGTGAGGAATAAAATCTCCTACCAAAATTAAAAGGATTGCGTGTTATATACATATATAAACATGTAAAAGTAGATTTCCTGCAGGCTGACAATAAAAAAAACATGTCTTACCATCTTTGCCGATGAGGAAATCCAGGTAGCGGTAGGTGTAGGCCACACCCACTTTGGTTTCCACCTGTGGTCTCTTCAAGGTGGAGTAAATCTTCCCTGGACTGCTCTCCTCCGACATTGGCTTCATCTTACGCAGCCCGCAGCCCATGGCTCCACAGTGTGTCTGTCTCTCTGTGCACGGACCCTGCCAACCAGAAAAAACAGACTGAGACAGTGTTTCATTGTCACTTGTGTGCCTCTGTGTGTAGCCAGCGAGTAAATGAGTGAGTTACTAAGTGCACATGAGTTAGTGTGTGTGTGATGAATGAAATAAATGAAAGCCATTAGATGCCTGGAATTGTAGGGAAAGTGCATTAACATTTCTAAAACACAGTTTGCAGCTGTAATATGTGGTTAAAGGGGAAAATACAGAACAGACCACTCTTAAGTGGGTAGCTAACGTTAAGTATAAATTAAGTATACTTAAGTATAGGTATATGAGCAAAAAATCTATTTAAGCATCAAAAGGAAACATACTCATCAAGTAGAATGCCCCCAGAATGTTTATTATTATGTATATTAATGAAATCTTATTAATGGTTAATTCATCATTCAATCAGCATCATATAACTGTCAAGGTAAATAGGAATTATAGGTGTCAACTAAATATAGTAAAGTAAAACGTACAATACAAGTATACATGTAAAAAATCATACAAAAAGGAAAACCTCACATAAAGTACAAGTACTTCAAAACAGTACTTAGTACAGTATTTGAGTAAACAGCCTTATTTACTGTACTTTCTCCCACTGAGGAGGACTGATTAAGGGCCAGATTAACCTTTCTGTGACATACTGTGCACACACAGACATTTATACTACACACATATGAAAGCAAACATTCGTGCACCCAGATATCCATGATTCCTCAGGGATTTCAGAAGGAAAACCAATAAAGAGGAACATGCTGGATAAGTGTCTGTAAATAAATAAATAAACACGATTAAATGAGCTTGATTTTTCATGGGTTCCCTATCCCTCGTTCCCAGGGAGACCAAATTAACAGAGACAACCGTGGAGGAAGAGGAGGCCTTAAAGAGCCGCCTCACCCCAAATGGTTTGTGACAGCATCGCTGCCTCTCTCCAGCGGCTGCGTCTGGGAGCAGGTGACATCCTATTGTGTGCCACTGATTAAACTCAAGGATGGATGGATGGATGGATGGATGGATAGATGGCGGTGGTGCCCTCCCCTCCTCTTCCACCTTGGCTGATGAGGAACCCTCTCTATTATGCTCCTTTCTAATTACAGAACGTAACGCCTTGGCCGGAGACTACAAATTCAAGCCAGTCGTCGCTTCAGAGACGACAGGACAGGAAGTGGGGAGGGGCGGGGGTGTGGGATGTAGGAAGGAGTGGGAGGCGAAAAAGGAAACGAGCAGACGGGGGCTCCGTTAATGAGGTGAACGGCAAGAATGGAAAAGGTGAGACTCAATCAAGGGAGAAAGAGGAAATGGGGGTAGCCGGGTTGGAGATTGTTCGTCAGAAAAGGGGTGTGGGGGGAGGGTGGTGGGTAATGCATGGCAAGTAGAGTCTGGAGAGAAGAAGAGTGTGCAATTAGAGTCTGTTGAATATAAAAGGGGAGATCAACACACAACGAGGGAGAAGGTAGAGAGAAAGAGTGAGAGATGAGGCAGGAGATTCATTACGGTTGTCATGAAATCCGGTGTTTCCATTGGCACTTACATGAAAGTCTTTGTTGGGCTTTATGAACCTCAACGTGCATCACAATCATATCTCAGCCAGCCTCAGTACAGCTGCCTGAAATGGGCAGCGGGCTGATCGACTTGTGATTAATACCAGAACACAGTGAGTCCTGCATGCTGCACGCCTCTCGGTTTGTGCGTTTAAAACTTCAGAAGCCTTCTAAATGGTTTGTACGTGCTTGAGATGTACTGAGGAGTTGTGTCTTTGCCTCTCAGCACATGCCAGAAGGACTGATGTCTTGCTTCAAGAACAAAAAAGCCAAACACAATCTGCAGAAGATGGCGTAGTCAAAGTCCCTAAAAGCGCTTCAGTCCCCCCTTAAATTGTCACTCAGGACTGCACTGCACTGCGCTGCAGTTCACCACGCAGCGTCACAAATGGCTCCGCCATCAAAGAAAACAGGGTATGAAAAAAGAAGCCTGAATTTTTCCAAGTCTAAAATTTCGCTGTTGCCTACAGTTACTTGTAAATAGCTTTTATCATTTCTCCCCCTACCCTGGAGAGAGTAGGAACAACAAGAGAGAAGGCGAGGCTCTGTCATGTAGTCTACAAGAGATGGAGAAGAGGTATTCAGAACAATGGGATGGGGGGCTTTGAGGGAGGGGTGTGGAAGGAAAACAAAGTGGAAAAGAAAAAAAATGGAGGGGCTTGTATTTGCATAGCTCCTTGAGACTTGGGAGGAGGCGATGTGAGGCGAAGGCGAACAGGAGTATTTTTAGAGCTGAACTGACAGAGGAAATGTGAGATGTTTATGATTTTTTGAGTCGCTGTTTCTTGCCTCAAACCTTTCCTCTGAGGCGGGAGCTCTGGGCAGTTGCAGCCCCTACACGCCCCTCCTCAGTTCCTGTACACCCCTGGTTTTTTCGGAGATTGACAGGCGGGGAGTCGGGGATGCTTTACAGGGTAGACAGACGCTGGGTAGCTACAGAAAAACGGGAAGAGGGCCATTGATTTCCCTTTTGCTGAATTAGCAACGATCCTCTTGCCATTTTGTTCTTTTGTCTCTTGCTAATGGCATTTTGAGGTTTTATTCGATAAGAGGTTTTATTCGATAAGATTCCCTTCTCATAAGCCTAGATTGACGTTCAGATGCTTTTGTTGTCTCTGGGATGCACTTAGCTTTGGCCTTAACAACCAAAACATCCCACAGCACTTTGTGTTGTGCTGAATGTGAAAGGCATCAGGGAGGTCTTTCACTGTCATGTTTTGTATCTGTAGATCAAAAACAGTTTGTCAGTCCGAGGTTTGCTTGGTTTTCTGTGCTCATATTGGTCACTTGGGTCATTGTTTGTTGCATCTTTGGGGATTTAGCACGTTATTAAAGCTAAAATCATTGATTCTGGGGCAGAAGACCTCTGCTACAAGCTGAGAATCACAAAGCCCAGGTATAGAAAGTTGTCATTGCGAACCTGTTGCTTATCTACACATCCAGAAGACATGGAGAAACATTAGCAATCACTTAGAGCTGTTCTTAAATTCAAATTTAATAGTCACTCTCCTTTTTCTCTGTTTAGTCTATATAAGTTGCTGTTTAGATACTTAATGCTCCACTATCTTCACTAGGAGGCTGCTAACTTTTTTGTCTTTGGTGCCAGGCAGGTAGCGTACAGTGGCTTTATTTATGGAGTCCCCATTGTGATACAGTGAGAGACAGTTTTGATCTCAATCAACACTTAAGGAAAATACTGGTCTAAGTGCTACAGCTAGTCACAGTTTGGTGCTTAGCAGGCAGTAAACAATTATCAAACAATTATTGAGGTGAAAGCAGAATTTTCACGGCATAAAACCAAAACAGTGATCTAAAAGAGCTGCAGACTTGGTGGATTTGTCACTGCCTAGCCTTCACATTATGTAGCCATTTGACGTTCATTTAAAACACTGAGTAGTGGAGCTTAAAATTGCACTGTTGCTCTAATGAGGAATTTGAACTTTATAGTCATGCCTTTTACATCAGTGTAGAAGATGGCGAACAAAAATCCCACCTGCACTTCCAGCCATCACAGCAACAAGAAGCAACTGCACAGATATTATTTTCCTTCATGCTGTCTGACTTAGATCTTCCCCATATTACAAGACCGTGTTACAAGGCTTTGATAGCAACGTTGCGGAGATCAAACCCAGCAGCATGGGAAGCTTCAGAGTGGATTAATGGAGGAAGACATTAATTAGGACACTGTGTTCTTGTGTTCTTCTCCATGTAGTCTCCCTTTTAAGCCTGCTCTCTCCCTCTCTTGTGCTCTCATGCTTTATCTCCCTCACCCTCTTTTCCTTTTTCCGACTTTTGATCTTTTTAATCTGACAAGTAAAGTGGAGCGCTGGGCTGCTTTTGGTGGTGGCTACTGCTGGTCCGATATCATCCGTAGTTTATTGTGAGGAGTAGACTCAAGGGCTCTCCAAGGAAAAGTGGTTAGAGACCATCATGTAAATAAGAGGACAAGACTGACCTCACAGGAAAAACAACAGCAGTGGTTTTAGGGTTGAAATTCTTCAAATGACCCATGTTTACTACAAGCAAGCAACCTCCATGGGTCGTGTCATCCAAAAAATTACCGGAATTAAAATGGAAATCAAGAACAAAGGCTGAAGTAACATATACTGCTGCAAGAAAAGGAAGGGGTCAGGGGGATCATGGGTCTGTTGACCTAAGGAATTGCTCCAGCTCCTTTAATTTGTCTCACAACTTCCCGTCTACAGCAGAAGTGGGAATGTGTTGCGTTGTGTCGACTGTTTGTGGTCACCTGGAACCTGCATTTTAGCAAGCATCTGACCAATTTTATATCATAATGTACGGCATGAAGGACGTACAGAGCAGACATTATTACTGGCAACAAATTATTCCTAATTATTATAGTCTCAAATTATAAAAAAATCTTTGTTATGTATATATATTTCATAACAGCGGAAAAGACTAGACTACCAATGTAAAAATAATCTGATCCTTTCTGAAGGATGTAAATATAACATTAATAACTTAATAACAGGCATCTTCATACTAATAAATTAGCATCAGACTATTTAATATAGCCGGCAGAGGCAACCTGAGTTCAAGAGACGAAACCAGAAATGGAACAAATGACAAAAAATGTGTGAGTTGCATAAGATCAATAAAGCCTGTAAAGTAAACACAGGAGACTGTGTTTCAGATTCTGTCTCCTACCAACAGATAATGTTGTTTTCTTTTGTATTCATGAAGACAATCTTTCTCTAACCTATATGGACCCACGTGTGGTAATCAAATTCCAGACTATCACAGCAACTCATGCTGCATTTTTCTAACCTGTATGTGTTTATCTCCTCTGATGAGCTTGTGAGTAACTTGACCTCATATATCGTATAAATAGTGACAAACGTATTAGAACAGAGCAGAAATGGGACAAGAGAGAGAGGCAATTTGTTTAAAACTTCAGAAGCCTTAGTAGTAGAATAAACAGAATTCTGTTTT